TTCATTAAATGGCATCTACCCACTCCTCTATGATGATAATTTATTTGACTGCAGGGATCACCAAAGCCAAGCCCAATCCTATCCTCATCCAATCCTGCAGCAGGGGTGACTGGAAACTTAACAGAGGTTCAAAACGTGATGGGTTTCTCTTCCCAATCACAGAGGAGCACTTGTGAGTATTACTGCAGCTCCAATTGGGATCTACTAATTCAGCAAAGATCAGGCCCCCAGGATAGTACAGTTCATTTCATACTGTATAGTCGGTTTCTAAATAAACTAGCAATTAAGGAATTGAGCATTGGACAGGAAGCTGTGGACAGGAATATGGTGGCAATACTCGCACGCATTTCATGCTGAGCTGTGTTGCCCACCAGGAAGCTCGTAGGGAGTTCCTGGGATCTACCATCCATCTAGTGGCGCTCAAACCCACGCTTATCAGATGTCAAATCCAACAGTGACTTACCTCCTGAGGGAAGGGGGGAGGTAAACAGGATCCCGTAGAGCTTAACTGGCTCCAAGGTGACATGTTTGGCAATAAAATGTCAGAATTGAGTCAATCCTTGGTAGTCCAGTTCCTGAGCCAGGAGGGTCCCTTACCCCAGGGCAATGCTAATGACCGCACAACCAGCCTGGCTCTTCGGCAGGACCTGGAAGGGCAGACCAGTCACTCAGGGCAGGGACTCTTCCAACTCAGCTACTATTAAGCTTGCAATAATCCAGAACTCTGCAGCCCGTGGCCTCTCCCACACCAAATTCCGTAACCCCATCACCTCCACTCTCACCCGACTCCATTGGCTCCCTATCCTTCAGAGGATCCAGTTCAAGATCCTGGTCCTCACATACAAAGCCCTCCATGGCCTCACCCCCCCCTAACTCTGCGACGCCTAACCCCCTACTAACCTGCCCATTCCCTCCACTCAGCTGGCTCCGGCCTGCTCCACGTCCCCCAATCCACCCCACCATTGGCGGGAGAGCCTTCAGCCACTCTACCCCCAACCTCTGGAATTCCATCCCCCAGTCACTCCGCCTCGCCCCCTCCTTAGCCTCCTTCAAGTCCTGCCTCAAGACCCTACTCTTCGACCATGCCATTGGTGACCCCCCTTCCCCTCCCCTCCCTTACACCCCAACTCCAGCTCGGGTCTGAAATGCTGTACACTGTCCAGCACCGTGGGAAGTCCTCCCGACGTGAAAGGCACTATACAAATGTAATCTTGCTGTTGTTGTTGCAAGACAAAGCTCTAACGAGTAGGATGGTCCTGCTGGACAAGCAGCAGGAAAGTTTGCCAGCTAGTGATATCAATGGCAAGCTGTGTGTTTTTAGCTGATGAGACTCCAGGAATTAACCCAACGCACATTCTCTAGTCCCCAAGTCTTGGCTCTTGCCAACCTGACCTAATACTTGCTGGTATTAATAATAATAATAATAATAAGGTAAGGTAATAAGGTATTAGGTAAGCAGGATGTGTCTCTCCAGAGAGAGACAGAGTGCGCATTCCATTCCAACAATCTATCTCTGGAATTTCCATGTGTGGGTGGGATGCATGGGACTCAGTTTGGTTTGGTATGCTTAAGCATGGTGATGGGTTTCCGCATGCGTCAAGACTCCTAGCTGACCAAAATAAAAAAGGGAGCCTGAGTGCCCTCCTCACTGGTCTCCCCAGCTCCACAACATTCAACTAATTCAGAGCTCCGCCGCCCTGATTCTCACCCACACAAAACTCCATGCCCCCATCACACCAGTTCTTGCCAGGCTCGTAAATACTGAACGGATTGATTTCGAGATCCTATCGTTTGAAATCCGCACCTCCCTGCCTATCCGATTTACTTAATCCCCACTCCCCCACTTGCTACCTCCACTCAGCTGGCTCCAGCCTCCTGTTCGTCCCTCGTCCCCTCCACCATCGTTGGCCATGCCTTTAACCACTACACCCTGAAACTCTGGATCTTTTTAGCTCCGCCTTGCCCCCTCTTTCCCCACTTCCCCGCCTAAAGACCTTCCTTTTCGATCGTGCATACAGTCACCTCCCCCTCCCTCTACCCTGGCTCTGGGTCAGATTTTGCCACTGTCAAGCGCTCCAGGACACTACCCAGCGTGAAGGGTGCAATTTAAATGCAAGTTATTGTTGTTGGTGTATAAGTAATCATGGCAACAAGCCAGACACTGAAGCTGCTTAAGTTCCCGATTCTTTCAGACCTGCAGAAGATTGGATAATGGCTGTACACAATGTGTAACACAGCAGCTACGAAATCTTGGGTACTTTGCTGCGGAGTTGAAACCTGAAAACCTTTGGCTGAAACCTTTAGCTGGAACAGTTCAAGTCTTAAAGAACCCGTTTAGAAAAATTGTTGGAAAACAGCTTTTTAAGTCTCATCTTATTCTTTACAGCTTATAGTACGAAATTTTTAAATTCACTAAAATATAATCATTAAATGATTCAGTGATTTATTTACAGTGTTGAATCCAGTGTTGTTTTTTAGTTTATAGGACATTTCAGCTAGTCCATTGATGAACATGCAGGATAGCTAATGAATTTAAGACAATTCTGTCATTCTGCCTCTTGCTGCCTCAGCATTGTCTCTCCTGTCCTCCTGAAAACTCACTACACAATGACCACCGCCTGCATCTTTCCTTCTGGATACTCCCCACACCTGCAGGATTTGGTGCCACTTGTTCTAAAATCTCAGCAGCATTTTCTCCTGGAGGGCAGCAACTTTCATGTTGCCTGTGATAGTGATTTAAAGTGAACCTTCTAAGAAGGTAAAGTTGGAGAGAATTTATACATATGCAGAAGGAGGCCATTCAGTCCATCAGTCTGCACCGATTCTCAAGAGCAATCTTTATAAACATTACAAACTAGGATCAAATTTTGATTTTCGTTTTACAATTTAATTGTATTACTCATCTAGGCTGCTAATCAGCTGCAAGTAAACTCCAAGCCAACGGAGTCCAGCTACAGTAATATTTTACACCTTTGACAGCATTGCCAGTTTCAGAAATCGGAATGCCTGCAGTCTTGTACAAAGTGTTCACACCTGTAACTACTATCACATTGCAGCTTTATTATATCCTAGGATTATTATATATGAAACATAATAACTGATAGACTACTTTGCAACTATTTGAGCGTGTTTCTTACTAGCTACAGCACCCACCTGTATAGAGTCCCAATAGCCTTTAAAGATGAACAAATACCCAAATCACTTTTGAAGTTTAGTTATAAAAAAGATTTTCAATGCAGGCATTGGAAAAAACATGGGTGGGATAAATGATCAAAACATATTCATTTAATTAAACCATATTTTAGTTACATGTATGACAATGCCTTCCTAATTTGCAGTTTAACGTAACCCTCAGTGCCATTCTCTGTTTGTCACTCCAAGCCTCGGTCACTGTAAGTTGCCCAGGAGAAACATATTAAGCAGCTTAAATAATTGACTTGCCTCCAGTTTTCTCAGACATGAGTACTGGAGCTACAACTGGGTTCAAATGGTTTAGGTTAATGAAAAAAAATCAGTCAGGATTCCCATCCCTGATCATTATCCAGAAATTATAGAAACTAGATTCAGCTGTAAATACAACTAATATCTAACCAACAATCAGAAGATTACCTTCCCGCCAATAGGTGAAGCTACCGGTTGGTCATTAGACATCTATGAGAAGAAGATTGAGCCATCACTAGGTGGGCAGCAGGTACCAGAAACCCATCACAAACTGCATGGTGAGTTACATAACCAGAATAAAATATGTGAGAGTATTGTGCACAGCAGTGTCCCACAAATAGTTGTGGATTAAGTGATCAAATTATTATTTTTATTTATTTTGAATGGATGGTTATAACAACAACAAGATTCCATTTATAGAGCGCCTTTCACGTCGGGAGGACGTCCCAAGGCGCTGTACAGTTGGGTCAGGAGCCGAGCATTGGGGGGAAATGGTCAGGGGGAGGGAAGGGAGGGGGCGAGGAGGGGGGAAATGGTCAGGGTGAGGGGAGGGAGGGGGCGAGGAGGGGGGAAATGGTCAGGGTGAGGGGAGGGAGGGGGCGAGGAGGGGGAAATGGTCAGGGTGAGGGGAGGGAGGGGGCGAGGAGGGGGGAAATGGTCAGGGTGAGGGGAGGGAGGGGGCGAGGAGGGGGGAATGGTCAGGGTGAGGGGAGGGAGGGGGCGAGGAGGGGGGAAATGGTCAGGGTGAGGGGAGGGAGGGGGCGAGGAGGGGGGAGATGGTCAGGATGAGGGGAGGGAGGGGGCGAGGAGGGGGGAAATGGTCAGGGTGAGGGGAGGGAGGGGGCGAGGAGGGGGAAATGGTCAGGGTGAGGGGAGGGAGGGGGCGAGGAGGGGGAAATGGTCAGGGTGAGGGAGGGAGGGGGCGAGGAGGGGGAAATGGTCAGGGTGAGGGGAGGGAGGGGGCGAGGAGGGGGGAAATGGTCAGGGTGAGGGGAGGGAGGGGGCGAGGAGGGGGGAAATGGTCAGGGTGAGGGAGGGAGGGGCGAGGAGGGGGGAAATGGTCAGGGTGAGGGGAGGGAGGGGGCGAGGAGGAGGGAAATGGTCAGGGTGAGGGGAGGGAGGGGGCGAGGAGGGGGGAAATGGTCAGGGTGAGGGGAGGGAGGGGGCGAGGAGGGGGGAAATGGTCAGGGTGAGGGGAGGGAGGGGGCGAGGAGGGGGGAAATGGTCAGGGTGAGGGGAGGGAGGGGGCGAGGAGGGGGAAATGGTCAGGGTGAGGGGAGGGAGGGGGCGAGGAGGGGGAAATGGTCAGGGTGAGGGGAGGGAGGGGGCGAGGAGGGGGGAAATGGTCAGGGGGAGGGAAGGGGGAAAAAAAACGAAAAAGCAATCCATCAAATGACTAACAATCCATAACCCCACTGGATCAGTGTGATCCTCTCCCCCCACCCCACCCGGTCAGTGCGGCCCTCCCCCCACTGCTTGCCCCCTGGGGTCAATGTGGCCCCCTCCCTCCACCTCTCCCCCCATCGCCCAGTCAGGGCGGCCCTCTCCCCGGCTCTCACCCTTCTTGCGAGCGGTGTGGCTGCGGCCGCGGCTCCTCGGCATGGCAGCTGTGGCGGCGGCGCCGCGTCTCGGGCTGTAGCGACCTCTCCTCGTATCGGAGCTGTCAGTCAGTGTTGCGACGTGATACTGAAGCCTCCGATCTGAGCGCGGTGTGCGATACAGTGGACGAGCTGCAGGCCTCGGGTTCTCTCTCTCTCTGGTGACAGGATAAATGCGCGCAAACGACCACCATCTTTTTGCTCTGCTCCCACTGTGCGCGCGCGAGGAAACACTGGGATTTGTAGTCCGCGCCTGTGCCACAGGACCCAGCGCTCAGTGGCACACCCCCTCCCACAGTGACTACGTGTCATTGTGTGCGCCGCCGGAGTCACGAGAACTACAACTCCCGGCATGCTCAGCCCACCACGCAGGCTTTGTTACCACGTGACTTGGCCGAGGTCATCTCGGAGTCACAGTCGGCACCAACCACGTGGGTGTGAATGGCTGAAATCACTGATTTATTATACACAGAATTACATAGAATATACAGCACAGAAACAGCCCATTCGGCCCAACTGGTCTATGGTGTTTCTGCTCCACATGAGCCTTCTCCTGCCCTTCCTCAGCTAAGCCTTTAAGCATAACCTTCTATTCCTTTCTCCTCATGTACCTATCAGCTTTCACTTACATACATCTATCCTATTTGCCTCAACAACTCCTTGTGGTAACATGTTCCACATTCCCACTACTCTCTGTGTGAAGTAATTTCTTCTAACTTCCCTATTGATCTATTTGTGACTATTTTATATTGATGGCCCCTGGTTTTGATCTACCCACACCTCCCAAGTGGAAACATCTCTATGTCTATCCTATCAAAACCTTTCATAATTGTAAAGACCTCTATCAGGTAACCCCTCACCCTTCTCTTTTTCAAGAGAAAATAGTCCAAGCTTGTTCAGCCTTTCCTGATAGGTATAACCTCACAGTTCTGGTATCATCCTTGTAAATCTCCTTTGTACCTTTGCCAATGCCTCTGTATCCCTTCTACAACAACAAGATTTCATTTATAGAGCGCCTTTCACGTAGGGAGGACGTCCCAAGGCGCTGGATAGATGGGTTGGGACCCGAGCAGGGGGGAAATGGTCAGGGTGAGGGGAGGGAAAGGAGGGAGCGAGGGGGGGGGAAATGGTCAGGGTGAGGGGAGGGAAAGGAGGGAGTGAGGAGGGGGTAGAGAGTCGAGAGGGGAGCTGAAGGCACCGTCAAAGAGAAAGGTCTTGAGACCGGTCTTGAAGGAGGAAAGGGAGGAAGCAGCGAAAGCACTGGGGGATGGAGTTCCAGAGCCTAAGGGCTGAGAGGCTGAAGGCCCGGCCACCGATGGTAGGGCGGTTGGGGCGGGGGATGTGGAGCAGACCGGAGCCAGAGGAACGGAGGGTACGGGCAGGTAGGTAGGGGGATAGTAGGTCGGAGAGGTAGGAGGGAGCGAGGCCGTGAATGGCCTTGTAGGTGAGGATGAGGATCTTGAATTCGATCCTCTGGGGGATGGGGAGCCAGTGGAGGCGAGCGAGGGTGGGAGTGATGTGGTCGCGAAGTCTGGTGCGGGACAGTACACGAGCTGCAGAGTTCTGAATGACCTGCAGTGTGGAGGGAGGTGCCGGGAAGGCCGGCGAGGAGAGAGTTCCCATAGTCCAGCCTTGAGGTGATAAAGGCGTGGACCAGAGTTTCAGCCGCGTGAGGGGTGAGGTAGTGCCGTAGTCTGGCGACATTCCGGAGGTGATGGAAGGCAGTGCCAGTTGTGGCGCAGATATGAGGGAGAAAGGACAGCTCAGTGTCGAACAGAACCCCAAGGTTCCTGACTGGCTTTGAGAGGTGGAGAGTGCAGCCTTGGATGCTGATGCTGTCAGCGCCTGAGGTGCGGAGGCGCTGACGTGAGCCAATCAGGAGGGCCTCAGTTTTGTGCACGTTGAGCTGAAGAAAGTTGTCTCTCGTCCAGGACTCGATGTCGGACAGGCAGCTGTCAGGACATCGGTGGTCGTGGAGTTGAGGATAGAGGAGGAAAGGTAGAGTTGTGTGTCATCCACATACATGTGGAAGTTAACCCCATGTCTGCGGATGATGTCACCGAGGGGGAGCATATAGAGGGTGAAGAGGAGGGGACCGAGGACAGAGCCCTGAGGGACACCGCACAAGACAGTGCGGGGGGTGGAGGAAAAGCCGTTTGTGGAAACAAAATGAAGACGGTGGGAGAGGTACGACCTAAATCACTCAAGGACAGGGCCTTGAAGGTTGAGGTGGGAGAACAAGCGGTGGAGGAGGATAGTGTGGTCGACCGTATCGAATGCAGCCGATAGGTCGAAGAGGCAGAGGAAGCCCTGGTCGCAGATGGTCAACATGTCATTAGTGACCTTGACCAGGGCAGTTTCTGTGCTATGGGCAGCACGGAAACCCGACTGAAGGGGTTCGAATAATGAATGGGTGGAGAGGAAAGAGCGCAGCTGGGAGGCGACAACTCTTTCAAGGACCTTGGACAGGAAGGGGAGGTTGGAGATGGGCCGGTAGCTTGATAGCTGCGACGCATCAAGGGAGGGTTTTTTCAGTGGGAGTGATGGTGGCAGTTTTTAGGGGAATGGGAACAGAGCCAGAGGAGAGGGACAGGTTAATGGTGTCTGTGAGAAGTGGGGCAAGGAGGTGGACCTGGGATATAAGGAGTGGAGTGGGGATGCGGTCAAGGGAGCAGGTGGTGGGTTTCAAGGATAGGATGAGTTTGGTGACAGAGGGTGGAGAAACGGGTTCAAAGGTGTGTAGGGGAGGATGGGTAGGAGTTGGAGTGTGGGAGGGAAGGGGTGGGTGGTGGGTGGAAGTTGGAGGGGAAGTGACCGCGGAGCGGATTCCCTTGATCTTGGATTCAAGGAAATCCAGCATCTCCTCGCAGTGAAGGTTGGAGGAGATGACCTGCGCGGGGTGGTGGGGGACGGAGGAGTCGGGATTTGGTAGAGAACAGAAGCCTGGGGTTGTTCTTCGCCTCCAGGATTATCCTGGAGTAGAAGGATGACTTGGCCGAGGCTAGAGTGGAGCAGTAGATTTTGAGGAGGTCCAGCCAGATTTGCCAGTGGATCGTTAGGCCAGATTTGAGGCAGGTGCGTTCAGCAGCCCGCACCTGGCTCTTCAGTGAGCGGAGGTGGGTGGTGAACCAGGGGGAGGAGCGAGAGTAAGAGACTGTGTGGGAGGTGATGGGGGCAAGAGTGTCGAGTGTGGAGGAGAAGGTGCTGTGGAGGAGGGTGAGAGCAGAAGATTGGTCAGTGAGGGATGAAGGCCAGAGGGAGAGGAGTTCTATAATATGGGGATGGAACTGTACACAGTACTCCAAGTTTGGTCAAGCCAAGGTTCAATATAAATTTAGTGTAACTTCCCTGCTTTTCATTTCTCTCCCTCTAGAAATGAACCCCAACATTGGTTTGCATTTTTTATGGCTTTATTAAACGGTATCGCTTTTAGCGATTCGTTTGTACTTAAATTCTTATTTTCTAGGTAGTATTTTCCAGGTACCTCCTTATTCCTCCTACAAAAATGTACCACCTCACACTTATCTATACTGAATTTCATTTGCCAGTTAAATGCCCACTCAGCAAGTTTATTAATGTCTTCTCATACACACATTCATAACATCCAGGCTTGACTATGCAAACTCCTTGCTTGTCGGCCTCGCCACCTCCTCCCTCCATAGGCTGCAGATCATCTAGAATTCTGCAGGCCATGTCCTCTCCCACACCAGGCTCTGTGACCCTATCACCCCCATCCTCGTCCGACTCCACTGGCTTCCCATCACACAGAGGATACAGTTCAAGATCCTGGTCCTCTTCTTCAAAGACCTACATGGCCTTGCTCCCCCCCACCTATGTGACCTCCTAACCTCCTACCATCCTGCGTGCTCCCTTTGCTCAGCGGGCTCCTGCCTGCTTCACGTCCCCTGCCTCGTCCGCCCCACCGTTGACGGGCAGGCCTTCAGCAACTCTGCCCCCACCCTCTGGAACTCCATCCCACAATCCCTCCGTCTCACCCCCTTCCTTGCCTCCTTCAAGACCCACTTCAAGGCCCTCCACTTCAATCTTGCTTTCGATCACACTCCTTCCCCCCCTGCCCTCCATCCTCCCTAATCCTGACCCTCAGCTCGGGTCTGAAACACTGACTGTCTTGGAATGCCCTCCCGACCTGAACAACAAGAAGATTACATTTGTTTAGCACCCTTCACGTCGGGAGGACGTCCCAAAGCGCTGGACAGTGTACAGCATTTCAGACCTGAGCTGGGGTCAGGACGGGAGAAGGGAGGGGAGGGGAAGGAGGATGGGGTGGCCGATGGCATGGTTAAAGAGGAGGGTTTTGAGGTGGGATTTGAAGAAGGCTAAAGAGGGGGCGAAGCAGAGTGATTGGGGGATGGAATTCCAGAGGTTGGGGGCAAAGTGGTTGAAGGTTCTCCCGCCAATGGTGGGGCGGGTGGATTAGGGGACGTGGAGCAGCCAGAGCCGGCTGAGCAGAGGAAGCGGGCGGGTTGGTAGGGGGTTAGGAGGTCGCAGAGATAGGGTGGGGTGAGGCCATGGAGGGCTTTGTAGGTGAGGACCAGGATGTTGAACTGGATCCTCTGAAGGATAGGGAGCCAATGGAGTCGGGCGAGAATGGGGGAGATTGGGTCACGGAGTTTGGTGTGGGAGAGGACACGGGCTGCAGAGTTATAATAATAATATTATAATAGAGTTTTGGATTATCTGCAGCCTGTGGAGGGAGGAGTTGGGAAGGCCGACAAGCAGAGCGTTTGCATAGTCGAGCCTGGAGGTGATGAAGGCGTGAACAAGAGTTTTAGTGGCCTGAGGGGTGAGGTAGTGGCGGAGTTGGGCGATATTACGGAGGTGAGGGAAGGCAGAGTGGGTCATGGTTTGGATTGGGGAAGAAAAGACAGTTGAGGCTATACAAGACGCTATACAAATATAATTTTGTTGTTGTTCTTGTAATTTGTTGCAGTCCGCCACAGTATTAACTACACCCCCCAATTTGGTGTCGTCCGCAAATTTTGAAATTGTACTTTCGACCCCTAAATTGTTTATATAAATTGTGAACAACAGTGGTCCCAATCCTGATTCTTGTGGATCACCACTTCCCACCCTCTGCCAGTCTGATTAGCTTGTCATCCATTCTGCTACTTTTCCTGACTCCACATGCTCATACACAGTACAGGGCTGTTCACAGCTACATAGTAGCTTTACATATGTGTTTTTTCATACAGTAAATGATACATCAGTTTAAATGTACTAGATTACATGTAATTAAATGTACAGACTTATTGATAC